AAGAAGAGATGGATTGACGGCCGGGACCCCGGCGGGGGGGGGGGGGGGGGGGGGACTGACACTCCAGATCAATGGTTTTTTGGCAGGCGAGGAGGTAGGGAGTGTTGTTGCGGGGGATCTGGGTGAAGGATTGGTTCTAATATACACTGAAGGGTTCTAAGTGCATGCCGGTCATTTGTCTGGAAGACGGCAAGTAATTGCACTTAACTAGTTTATAGTGGGTTTTTGGTTGTCCTAGATTGTTGAACAGGGTTTTAAAGTGTGGTCCTACTTAGACTCATAAGTGTGTTTTAATGTGGCATTGAGTTGGCATTCTATGCATAATGTTGGTTTTAGAATCTCTCGTTGCATGAATTCCAACAAAGTGTTTAGATGTGGTTGCTGGGACCTTGTTAACTAATTTGAGATTAATTTTTCCTGCATTGTAATTTTTAATTAGACTATATGCATTATTTTGTCCCTCAAGTCCTGAGTGGTAAACATTTGCTACCTCTTGATTTAGTCGTCATCCCTGCTACTGGTCTCCTGAGAGATTCGCTGGGTGTGGGTCTATTACAGATACAGTGGTCACAGAGTAGTGTGTGTGTCTAGTCAAGTGATAAGAGTTTGACTTTATAAGAGCCTCGTAGCTGTTAGATCAGCATGCCTTGGGATCACCCCATGTTTGCAGCAGTGTAGTTTATTTGGTACGTGAGACACAATCTCTGGAATTCCATTCAGGTGCAGCTGACTACACCTTTTCTGTTTTGACTGTGCTGCCCTGGAGTCACAGTGGGGTGTTAAAGTGCTCATAGTTGCTTTATGATATTTCTAGTAAACAAAGGGCCTTTTGGCCTTAAAGGTTTAATCTTTCCTGTCTGTAGAACTGGGTACGGCATTGTTTGGGAGGGACATGAGGGTAAAACCCTTTGTGTATGGAGGAGCAAGTATCTGTACAGCTACAAATAACTTCAACTGCCAAGTTCTGCTTTCAGGACCCAGAGCAACTTCAGGACAAATCCAATGAGATCCTAACAGCCATTATCCAGGGGATGAGAAAAGAAGAGCCCAGTAACAATGTGAAGCTAGCAGCTACAAATGCACTCCTGAACTCTTTGGAATTTACCAAAGCAAACTTTGACAAAGAGGTAAGTGAAAGAAGGAGAAGTTTTGGGTGTAAGGCAAGTCCAGAATCCATGGTCTGTGATGAGAAATCATGCACCACGCTGAATTCTACTTGATGCATAATACCATTGTGGCTGAGACCTGGATTCATGTGCCCTTTCTGAGGCAGAAATGCCATAGAAATGCTAAACTTGGAAACATCACCGACTACTTTTGAATAAGTAAGACCTGACCTTTAGGGTTTTTGCCTGTTGAACATGTTGCTTTCTAATCAAACTTTGCTCTGTAATGCTGTTGTGGGAGCCCAAGCTTGGATTAGCATTTCCTTTCTTGTGCGGCAGGAGTTCAGGCTTTCACTCGGGATCTGAAAATGGGTGGGGAGGAGGAAAAAAAGTTAAAATTTTACCAAAACATTGAAATGGGGGTCTCTGCTTGCTTTTTGTCTTAAGTACACCTATCTGGTTCCTACTGAAGATTTTGGGGAGGATGGAATTTTAATGAATTTTTAGCCAGCCATACAGCTAATAGTGTAATTGTAACTTCAAGCACCTACACTGAACACCTTCAAGAGCAAATTGGATGCTTATCTTGCTGGGATCCTATGAACCCAGCTGACTTGCTGCCCCTCGGGCAGGGGGCTGGACTCGATCTTTTGAGGTCCCTTCCAGCCCTAATGTCCATGAAATCTGTGGTCTCAATTGGTGTTCAGTTTGAGATGGTAGGGTGCCTTCCATTTGGACTTCAATCTTCTAATTGGGCTCAGAAATAATAAATATTAAATTTAGTGGCAAAGAATAGCTTAAGTGCCCCTCGTATGACCTTCCAGAACACTAAATTGTTCTAGCTAAATCATGTTTTGAGACCTTGTGTACTGATTGCACAAACATTCTAGAAGACCATAGCTTTCATAGTTTTTTGGTTGTATAACACCATTCTAATTCTACTTTATTCTCCCGCTTTATTCTCTTGTAGTCTGAAAGGCACTTTATTATGCAAGTTGTCTGTGAAGCAACGCAGTGTCCAGATACAAGGGTAAGTAGTGGTGGTATGTCTTGAATTGTCATGTTGCCTTCAAGAAATTGCATTTAGAACTCTCAAGCATCATAAATGCACTAGTTCAAGAAATGGTTGTTTAAATCTCTAATATTTGCATGCAACTGTGGTGAGCTCTGTATTTTGAGGAATGATACCACTTTGTTCTGTTTCCTTTTCCAACAGGTACGGGTAGCTGCCTTGCAGAACTTGGTGAAGATAATGTCTCTGTACTATCAGTATATGGAGACGTATATGGGTCCGGCTCTCTTTGCTGTGAGTAGTACAGACTGAAAATTGAGTGGCTTAACTGCAGTATGTACTCTTATTTTTGCAGTTCTGTAGTGCTTTTCATCTGTAAAGAATGAATCCTAATACAGAGACCACCTTGCCTAGGCGATACCATATTTTGTCACATACAACACAACATGAGGCAGCAGGTGAGCTGCTGGTGGTATCTTGTTGAGGCTTATGATATGGAAACAACATTTTATTTACAAGAACTTTTATACGAAGAACTGCTTACAGTAAAAAAAAAAACAAAAAACAAAAACAAAAAAAAAACTAGCAGTCTTGCTACTGTCCTTGTGGGCTTAACCTTTGTGACCTAGTGTAGTTACTCTGTCATAAGCATGGTGTCCAGGAAGGGTGGTATCCCAGGAGACAGTCTGGGTGAGGCATCTGGCACCAAGAACTTCCCAGTGCTATGCTTCCTAAATGCACTGTGTTCCCCGAAGGGTGCACACTGTCTTGCAGTCTGTCACAACTCTGGAAAAAACATTTTTCCAATATTCTGCCTTCTAAAATAAAGGTGTATTTTTTATTTGTGGGAAGGGGGAGAGAAAGAAAGAGTGGGGAGTGGGTGAAAATATGGGAATTACTACACCACCCTCCTAGTATAGCATCCCATAGACAAGCAAAGTTTAGATATAGAAGTACTAACTTAGTTCCAGGTTTTGTTAAAGGTGAAACTAGTAATGCAATTTAGAACTCTTCTAGATTTTATGCAACTAAATTTTGAATATGAAAGCACCCAACCTGTTCATAGCAGATATGGAATTATGTTTATGAAGCCTTTTCCTGTGCGTTAAGCAAACTACTAAACTAAATAACTAATCCTTTTTATAGGTAATTTTTTTAATGGGTAGTCCAAAATTTGCATCCTTTGTTTGTCCTGTTGGTTTGGCTCTCTGCCAGCTTTATTTTAAGGAGATGCTTCCCTGCTGCAGTACTTGTATAAAAAGGAAATTGGCTTTTTGCCCCTTCCTCACTGGGGATCTGTTTTCTCCTCTCATATCTGTGGCAGTTGCTGCTGGTGGGCAATTGTGTTTGTAGCTTTTTCAAAAATTGCTGATTTACAAGTCACCTGGTGGTGCTGTAGAGCTGCAAGGTGGGCTGCATCTGGATCTCCGTAGTGCCCACAGTTTTACAGACATGTGGCATTAAAGTCTCTAAATCTAAATATTTACGGGAGCTGCTTCGAGTGGTGGTTGCTTTGAGTGGATGTATTTATTTTCCAAGGGGCTAGAGGGAGGTCCACTTTAATTTTTATAGCAGCCTGAAGAACCCCTGAACACTTTTTCTCTGGAATGGAGCACTATAGCTAACTAACATGTGGCATTAGGTGATAGAGGTGGGTGAAATTGATGTTCTTACTATAGAACAATGGAATCTCTAGGTTTAAGCAGAGAAAATAAGACAATTTATTTACGTCTTTGTGGAAAGCTTTACACAATGTAGATGGAGTTCTATTTTAGTAGCACATTAAGATGCCAATAACTTTAGATAAATAATGAAGTACACAGGAGAAAAAAATCAAACATCACTAAACTGCAGCTCTTTCCCAGGTCCTGAGTTTCCTTTTATCATATACCCTGCCTGAATTGTGCTTCAGAGCTGGGATAATGCCTTCATAAGAGAGAAATGCTGAATATTATAAACATATAAATCCCCATATGAAAGCTTTGTAGTTTAGGATCCAGAACATCTCTTCCAAAGAAGTCTATACAAACAATAACTTAGGGCTTGAAGCATCTTTTAGAACAGGGGTGTCAGTCAGACTTACGGCCCATGGAACTGTTTCATGTGGCCCACAGAACCTGCTGCTGAAATCTGGGCATGTCCTGTTGGCAATGCATGTCAGAAGAGGTGGGGGAAGGGAGGAAGGAATGAGCAGCGTCTGCATTAACTGTTTTTCACCTGGTCTTCATAGCTAGATCTGGCCCACAGGCAGGATGAGTTTGGCACCCCTGTGTTTAGAATATTATATTATGATCACATGATGGCAGGGAACTAGTTGTTGTACACTTTTTTTTTTTAAGAAGTCTTCCATATGGTCAAGTCATACCATTCTGAAATGTGCAGGCTGTTTTGGAGTGGTGGGGGGTGTATTTTGAGGAAGAATGATGCACTAAAATGCTCTTCATCTCCATTTCATATTCTGAAGATCACAATTGAAGCAATGAAAAGTGAGATAGATGAGGTGGCTCTACAGGGAATAGAATTCTGGTCAAATGTCTGTGATGAGGAAATGGATTTGGCTATTGAGGCATCTGAGGTGAGTTTGAAAATGGCACCTGTGTATTGATGTTAATGACTTCTTGCATCATATGAGCATCTGACAGTGCTGAAAGGGAGAAGCTAAGGTGGGTCTGAAGCTTGTTCCTTCAAGGTGCAATTGTCAGTCAGCTCCAAGCCCCTTGTGTAGCAGTCCTTAGTCTATGATGAGACATCATGCACCACTCTGACTATTAAGTGATGCATATCTGTTATGGAAGCTGAGACTTTGAGCCTGCATGGAACACAAGGCAGTGTGTTGGTTTTGTTCTAATGTTGCTGACTATAGTTATGGTTTACTTTGCAGCATAGCGTGGAGATAGCCAAGCTAACACTGAACAAGCAAAATTGGGAACTAGTAGCAGCCTAATCATGATGGCATGAACTAACACATTTCTTCTATAATCTTTGCTTTACCCTTGGTTTGGTACCTAGATTCAACTGAGTTATAGTGCCTTGTAAAAACTCAGGCAGTTGGGCGTTCCATGTAATGCCCAGTAGTTAAGGCTGCCTAAATGTTCCCATTATAATTCCTGTTGTTTTCATTAAACTGCTCTCCCTGCTTTTTATTTATTGGGCTATAATTTTTCAGGTTTGTTGTCCCTCTTGAGTTAAAATCTTGACCAAGCTATTTTAAACAGAATGGGATGGAATTTTTTTGTTTTTTAATCCAATGAACAAAATAGTTATAAAGCTGGCAATTGAAATGTTATATGGGATAAAGATATCGTTTGAATATCCTGCTAAGGAAAATATAATTTGGGAGCGCTAGGTTGTCTGAAACTAGTACATGTAAAATGCATACCCTTAAGTGACTTGAGTATTTTCAACCCTGCTGATGTACCTGTGGCTGACTTACCTGTAGAGGATATGGTCTGTTAGCTTGCACAATAAAATAGTTCTTGACAAGGAAGTTCATAGCATCACAGAATGTTGAGCTCTTGCCTCACTTAGGCTTCCTTTTTATTGAGGAGGGGCTAAAGTAACCAAGTTAATTCCTGGTGAGCAGAGCCTTCCATGGAAAGCCACATGCTTTCTTTATCTTTCTGGGTTTCCTCAGTTCTGTGAGAAATAATGAACCTCTGCCATCAAACTGCAACATTAGTTAAGCGTTCTCATACCTAATTACTGGCATCTGTAGTCTAGCTGTGTTATACCGTGTAAGGGGCTTTTTGAATTAGTTTAAGAACTGAACATAAAACTGTTTAACAAAAGAAAAAGTATCTCCCTAGAGTGGATGACTGAAAAGGAAAATGCTATCTTAATCTTCATGTAGGTGCTCTTACCATCAACTAGTCATGTACTCTGGTGTTAATGAAAACTGTAAGGGTACAACTCTCCTTTCTCTACAAGGATCTGAATTATTTTTCTGTTGAATGCTCAGAATAGCAGGGGTAAAAGGACAGTCAGTTCCATAGCTTTAATCTGAGTTTTGCATGCCTCTTGCCCTTCCTATATGGGGGCCACTGAATAATTTAAATATGCAGCTTTTCTTTAAACATGGTTGTATAATGTTGGAGGTACAGTGTTTGTACACGGAGTAACAAACTGAACATGTGCATCATACTGAACTGGAGTAACTGCAAGGTGTTATCTTTGGGAAGGTTTCCTACTGCACTGTAAACTCATGAGTGAAAAGTAAATATCTACAGACTTATTTCCTTGTAAACTGCAAGCTGAAAAGTTTCTGAATTGGGCATTGTTTTGTTTTATACCCTGTTTCTTTCTAGGCAGCAGAACAAGGAAGACCTCCAGAGCATACCAGCAAATTTTACGCTAAGGGAGCACTACAGTATCTGGTCCCAATTCTCACACAGACGCTAACAAAACAGGTATGGTTTTGTTAATTGTGTGAGTGGTCTGGAGTTCTTTATGTATATGAAGAGCTTCACATGTCTATAATTTGCACATGCTATTTCCGGAACACTTAGTTCTGCCTTGAATAGCGTGCTGTCCAGGAGTTGGGCCTCTGGTCATTGAATTAGTATTTTGCTTTGCTTCTCTTCACTTGCTGATGAGCTGGGTTACCCACCAATGAGGCCCTCTAGAGGAGTCTTGTAAGGCCTTCTGGTTCTCAACAGCTCATGTGGCAGTCCTTGGTCTATGATGAGACATCATGCACCACTCTGATTGAATGATGCATCATTTGTGGAAGCTGAGACTTGAGACTGCGCTGAATGCCATACAGGTGCCAGCCACATCAGGCTGGTTGTGTGGCACTTCATTAAGGCCCATTTCCCTTTCTAATTTTTGGAGGCATTTGATAGGTTCATGTGGATTTGCCATTTAGCTTCATCCAGCATGAGGTTTAACCGACAAAAGCCGCCCATGTTCTGTTTGCTTTAAGACCCTATTTCTGGCTTTTGTTTTGAACCTTAAATTCTGAGCTCTTAGGACCATATTTGTTTGAGCACTTCACAGGGACTTGTTTAAGTTGTGGGACAAACAGTCCAATCAAAACTTAATAGACTCACTTGCTGCATAGAGTCTAGTTAACGTGATGCAGTTTAATTTAATCTGTATAGGATCAGGTTCATCTGGCATTACTGTAGTGAGCTGGGGAGGTCTCTTTTTATAAAGATAGTGTGCACCTGTTTCCTATTCAATTTTTATTGCTGCTTGCCTGAATGCATAGAGTTAAATCCCAGTAGGCTGTTTAAAGAACCAAGCAGGAATGGTAAAATGGTGATGCATGAATTTCAGGTACAGAGATTGAAGGCAGTTAAGATAACAGTGGGCTGAATTAACAGTTTGGTCCAAAGGTGGGTGGCTGCTGCTGCTGAATTGCCACCAGTGTCCTGGCTTTCTGGGCTGAATAAAATTGGTGGGCTGGTTCTGGCCTGCAGGTTGTAGGTTCCTGAATTTTGACTTGTGTGTGGACAACGCATACCCTTTGAGTGGCTGCAAAAGGGCAGATGTGCAGTCGCTGTAACTGCAACATGTGCACAAGCATGTAGCAAAACAAGTAAGCTATATCACCCCAACTTTAACCTTGGATGATTAGTTTTGCTACATTTTGTATTGTCACAGGCGAGTGCACAGGTGATGGAGCTTAATAACTGCTTCAGCTCACCCTCCTCTTTTTTTGAAATCATTCCCAGCATTTCTTTGCCCATGCCCTTAACTGGTAACTTGTAGGGTAGAGTTGGGTTACTTTCACAAGGAAAAGCCTGAAATCAAAGGAGACCTAAAATCTCAGAACCCAGGAAGAGAGAGCAGGGTTGTGAATTACAGTTCCATAGTGAGTAGGGTCGGAAGGGACCTGAGCAGATCATCAAGTCCGAGTTCCTGCCATGGCAGGAAAGAGTACTGGGGTCAAACGACCCCAGCAAGGTGATTGTCTAGCCAGCAAGGTGATTGTCTAGCCTTGAGAGGCTAAGTTGATAGTTGTCCCTTCAGCCAGGGAAATGGATGTTGTGAGCAGGACAGGCTGCTGCTTCCCTCCACAGATGTTGTTAGCAAGGCCTAGAAGAACTTAAACGTCAAATAACTACTTCTGGATCTTCAGTGTAGTCTGAACTCATTTAAGACTGCAGGACTTGGTTGTGAAGTGACTTCCCTTGCCCGTTAGATCCAGCTAGATAGCTTAATCTTTATGTGGTAGAAGTAGCTTTCTGGTTGGTAAGGGGTATTTTTTTCTTGCCAAGAATGACCCAGGTGCTGTTTTCTCCTCAGGATGAAAATGATGACGATGATGACTGGAACCCCTGTAAGGCAGCAGGGGTCTGTCTAATGCTTCTGGCAACCTGCTGTGAAGATGACATTGTTCCCCATGTACTGCCGTTCATTAAAGAGCACATTAAAAATCCAGACTGGCGATACAGAGATGCAGCTGTCATGGCTTTTGGGTGCATTTTGGAAGGACCAGAGCCCAACCAGCTGAAACCACTAGTTATACAGGTAATGCCTAGTGTGTGTGGTTTGTTTTGTTTTGTTTTTTCCAGGTTATTGGCCTGTTTGGCCCAAAGCACGTTGCTAGTCAAATTAATAAAATGTGATTTACAAGAAGAAAGTTTTATAACAGTGACCCAGGTTCTGTGTGTCTGGATTATGGCTATTTTACTCAGATGCAGAGCAAGTTGCTAAGAAGGCTTTTGTGTCAGTTTCTTTAAAATGTTGTATAGGGAAGAAATTTTCTTGTGTGCCTCAAGATTACTATAATCATCTTCATTCACTATCACTGGAGCAGCACTATGTCTATAACAGGGCCTTTGGGCTGGATATGACTTGTAAAGCCATTGGATCTGGCACAGTGCAGGGGGGTTGCCTGTGCCACAGCAAGGTCCTAGCACTGGTCCACCTCAGACCCAAGCTAGATTATTTCAGCCCACTGCTGGAAAAATGTTGCCAACCACTGTAGCACAGAGCATGTGGAAGGCACTTGGGGATAGATCCCATTTCCCTATCTGGTGCCTAAAGTAGCACCTAAGTAACCCAGGTAACTGCTGCTTTTATCACTTTTGCACTGTTCGGGATCCAGCATAGCTGTGCTTGCTCCTCTGCATCCCTACTGAGGCTGTACTGTAGCTGGATAGTTTCCCAGACACAGTAGAATTGCTCAGGTGTTCATGTGATGCCAGTTAGATTAGTTGCAGGAAAGCTGTGACTAGTGGATCCGGAAGACTGGAGGAAGGCTCTCATCTTTAAGCTCTGTAGCCTAGTACTTAGGGTACTTGCTTGGGAGTGGAAGACTTTTGTGGGGGTGGGCTAGATAGAACCCATAGTAGACTTGAACCTGCATCTCTTGCATTCTAGCAAAATGACTAAACCACCAGTCCACAGGGTGGGCTTTCCCAAGAGCACTCTCCAGCTCCCTTTGAAGCTGACCCACTGGGCAGCCAGGAAGCAAAAATAGGTGGGGTCAGCAACAGAGTGAGGCAAAAGGATAGTGGCTCAGTGAGGTGGGATACTGTCCTGGAAGGGAAGAAGTGCTGGTTCTGGACTGGATATCAGCTCCCAATGGGGCAGAAACTATCCTAATGCTGTTAAGCTGTTTTATTTTAATGAATAGCAAACACAAGGTGCAGTGGGCCAGTGCCAAGGAGAAGACTGGAGAGTGCCATATGTAACGTGTAACTTATTGCCTGGTGCTTTACTGGGAGGCAGGACATGCAAGTTCAAATAGCCTCTTGGCTTGACCAGCCTAGAACCTGTCTCTCATCTCTGAGCAGAGCCTTAAGCCACCAGGCTATCAGGCAAGAAAGTGAGACGGTTCTCTTTCATCAGTTTTATTTCTGGCAGGTGGGTGCAAAGGGTGGTCCTGTTCTGTTACAGGTGGAAGTTAGCCATACATTGCACAAGTGGCAGGAAATGGCCTACTTAAGTGCCATGTAATCACACAGAAGGTGAAATATGATTTAGTCCTAAGTATACAGAGCCATGCTTGATCCTTTTGTGTGTTCATTTTTGTCTTGCATAGATGAGAGGATTGAAACATCAAGGGTTCAGTGTATTTTAGCCTTGTCTCTAGGAGAAGTTTTATAAGTTGTCTTTCAAAAAGGTGACTATTTAGATAGATCCAGATATATCTGGTTTCTGAGCTGTGAAACTCACTTAATTGCTAGTCCATTAAATAACTCTTAATAGGGTATATTCCTAAATAGCTGTATGCTGCTGACATCATGTACGTGAATTGGATACAGTTGTGACTTGCTGCTAACTGTGGTTTTATTCTAGGCCATGCCAACTTTAATAGAACTAATGAAGGACCCTAGTGTGGTGGTTCGGGATACGACCGCATGGACTGTGGGCAGGATCTGTGAGCTGCTCCCTGAAGCTGCCATCAATGACATTTACCTCGCTCCACTGTTGCAGTGTCTGATTGAGGGCCTGAGCGCAGAGCCTAGAGTAGCTTCCAATGTGTGCTGGGTAAGGCAGAACTCAACTGCTGTGCAGTGATACAGGTGGGACTCCTACCATAAAAGGGGTGAGGTTGATGGATACATCTAGCAACTCTTGTGAGCATATTTCATTTGCAGACCCATCAGCCTGTTTGTCCACCACACAACTGTTTAAGTAGGAACCATCTCAAGTCCTATGCAGCACTTGGGGTGCAGAAAAAGCAGGGGAAACTGTTTCTGGACATCTTCTCAGTTAACTTTCCCTTTCCTTCTAAACAAATGTGTAAAAATGGTTTCAGTTTGAAAAAAGCAGTAAAATCATTCTCCCCTATGGAGCACGAGTGTTTGGTAACTGTTTAGGAGCTTTTCTCAGATGAGTCCTACGTGTTTTTCTGTTGTTTGTCTTCCAGAGGCAGTTGAACTGTTAATTCAGTCCCAGTCCAAGGGAGACACAAGATACTGCCCCCCAATTAGCTAAGTGCATTTATAGCCACCCAGCACTAATTTTGGGAGTTTGAAACGCATCTCATTCCTTTTGTACAGCTTCAAGTTGTGCTATTGACAGGGCACTGAGCAGGATTGGCCAGTTCAACTTTACTTTTTCTTATTAATCAATATACCTTAATATCAAATAACTTAAACAAGTGTGCAATTTCTCATTACAAAGTGGGGGTACTTCACTGTATTTTAACTGAACTGTTTTGGCTGAGTTCTCACCGTAATGAGTAATGACTGGTAAGACACACTTTTGAAACTGCAGAGCTAAATCTTTGTTTTTCTTAGCCCAGTTTCTCTGTTTTAAAGAGTTTCAGGGCACTCAGTCAGCCAGAGGCTCTTCCTGATCTTTTGCTTCCTGGGGCTTTTGCTTTCTGAAGTCCTTAATTGGTGTAAATTTTCCAAATCAAAAGTGAAATGGGGTTTGCAGCTGTAGTCGCCTCCCCTGACTGCAGCAGGGACTGGGAACAAATCTCTAAGGCCTTGTCGAGACTAGGATTAAGGTGTGATGTCAGCACAAGTTAGCTGCCAGGTGTTCTCACCTGTTAGTAGACTCTTACAGCCAAGGTTATGGGCCTTTAAGCTGTTCACATCTGGTAGTGAATGCTGTAACTTCTTAAGCAAGGCTTCAGGCTGGATTTCTGCTTTGAAATTTCATTGGTGGCATGTCAAAGCATAATGGGTCTTGCTCTTGGATAGCTGGAGAAGGAGAACCATCAGTTTTGAACTTTGCTGCTCTGTCAGAATGCAAAATTGACTCTAACCATGGGGCAGGATATTCATTCTACTGAACTATCAGGACTGGCAAGCTTTTTTTCCTGGTGGTCAGGCTGTTTCAGATTGACCTGAACACTCATTTGCACTAACTCTTTCCCAGCTTTTAGGGGTGGGTTTTAGCACACTTCTTTCCTCAACTGGTGAAACCTACTAAAAACTCTTAGGGGAATTGGTATGTAGGCTGATGAGTGGTGCAGTTGAAATAATAATCTTGTGTAGTCTGGTCAGTTCAAGGGGCTGTATGTGTTGGGCTAGTTTGCCCATGATGGGAGACTCTCTTCATTATAGAGACTGTGATCTGTTCTGTATTTTTAGGCCTTCTCAAGCCTGGCTGAAGCTGCCTATGAAGCTGCAGATGTAGCTGATGATCAGGAAGAGCCAGCAACCTACTGTTTATCCTCCTCATTTGAGCTAATAGTTCAGAAACTTCTGGAGACCACAGACAGGTACCCTTAAATTGGCTGACATAAATGTCTGCAGAAACACTGTTTATACCACTTAAAATGGCGAGTTCTTTTGCTTCCCACAGTTTGTGAAGTGGTGCATTAAAAGGCATCAATGAGTATATATCACTGCATGAGGACACAAGTGTTACAAAAATAACCTTCCACACAAAGATTTCTCCAGATTTAGTCCATGTTCATCCTTATTGATATATTACTTAAGGCTTTCTCCAGACTTACTCTCTACCAGTGCTTTGATGGAAGCTTCATTAAGACGGCAGAGATTGCACACTATTTTGAGGTATCGTCTAGAGGGGCACTAAATCAAAA